TGAATTTATTTAGTAGGACATTTTTAATGACTATTTTATGTTCATTGTTTCAACCCAATAAATAATCGATATGGGGAAAAAAATGTATGCCACTTTAAACACATTCACATATCTGTTGATGAAACAACAAATTGTTATTTGACTCATCATTAAGTTTTAATATGATAATTATCATTATGCCTTTTATTGTTATTTTCAGTGACTATGTTATACTACCATTACATGTGAAAGAGTTTATGCTATATTATGATAAATCTGTATTTATCTATCCTCAATTGTTACCGACAAGAACTTACCATCATGAATATAAAAATCATCCTATTGGACCTTCAGAAGCAAAGTATTACATCATATGTTTTTTAATTGAGAAGAGTGTACATCAATATTCACTCTATTCGTCTCTCTTACGTGTAAAATGCCATATTATTAAAAAAAATCAATTGTAAGAAATCAGTTTTAATACCTAAATAAAAATGGAAGGCTTCTCCCAGAAGTTCAATAAAAACCAATTCTTCGATGTACTACTGGTGTTTTGCATAGCAATGATAAATCTTAACAAAAATTAAATATTTTCTTGAATGTATTTTCACAAAAACTAAGAAACTAATACATTATTGTGATGTAATGTTTCACATGTATGAGAGACAAATTTAGAAAATGTTACTGTACCATAAACTATTTTGTAACTTATTATAAATATAAATAACTTTTTTTTTTATAGACTTCTGGTATTAAAAATAGATTATATTTATAAGAATTTGAAAGAGAGTTGTAATACTCGGGCAAAATATAGAAAAAAGAATTTATCTGATTTAATGCCAATGATAATAAAAACTGTACATAAAAGATGGTTTTCAAACAGAAGCTTAATATATCTAAAACAGTACATAACGCGTCAGAAGAACTCATTTGAAATGAATGTTATTAAGGTATGCTTATTAATTTATTTTTACTAGTGAACTATTAATTAATTAATTTAAACTTTGAATGATTTATTTAAATTGTACATTGTAATTAGTTATTTCCTTATTTTTGATTATAAAAATACCTATTACCATTGAGTATATATGTCTCAATGCTATTATAATATGTACTTTGAATTAAATGTTAAAATATTTACACATAAACTAAATGCAAATATTAATACAGCGTTTTTATGATATAAAAAAACTACTGTTTGAAGAGGTCGCTACACACGCTGTCTCTGTCTTACATACTCGTAATTCTTTGTGCATTTTAAAATACTCATAACTTTTAAAATTAAAATCTAATAAAAAATATTTGGGGTTCACTAGATAATATTCTTACTGCTGAATGTTATAGTAGGTCAATTTACTCCAATATTATTCATAATAGAGTAAAATAGATTGAGAATGTACAATTTGCTATGTTATGCGTTTGTAATACAGAGACAACGTAGCGGATGTTGTGCCGGCTTAATAAAAAATAAATAATAATCATTAAAAAAATGTTTTTGTATGTTTTTCTTCTGAGATTTATTAGGATATTTTTGTCTGGATAGAAATGATAAATTTTTTAATTTAAAAATGATATAATTTTTTTTTCCAAATATTTATTATGTTTAATGTATGTGCTTGTGTATTTCAGAATTATTTAACATATGGTAAAATTGAAGAATCTTCTTATATAATTGACATTAAAGCTCTCTTTAAAGGAAACCGCTTATACGAGTGTGATGTTCGAAAGTTTCCATCAAGTTGGAAATGTATCAGAAATCAATTGAAGTTAAAAAAATAGTATTTTTTTCTTGGTTATCAGCCTTGAAGACCAGCCCTAAATAATAATTTTGTATGCTAACTGCTATTATTATATTAATTTTTATATTAAAAATGTTTAAAATAAAGAAAAACAATTGATTAAAATATTATAGAAGTTGAATGTTAAACATTGTATATTAATTTATTTTGTATGATAATTTGTTGACTGCTGGCGACCTAAGTCGGTTTAGTGCGTTTAAGCCGTTTAAGGCCACACAAATTTAGAGGATTTATTATTTTTTTTTTTTAAATATCAATTTTTCTATTCTATGCCATGATAAATATTGTTGTCTCCAAGCGTGGAGGTTTAGTTTTATTTAATGTTGATGTTAAACTTGGCACTGGGTGAACCAATTGCATCACATAAATAATATGGTATAGGTTGCCAGTAACCCTAGTGGCTTTACAATAAAAGACAACACGGCGGTGTTTTTGTTTTGTTTTTCTCATTTGCTCAGTTTGCAGGTGTCATGTCTAAAAGAGTTGTAACTATTTTTTTTTTCTACAATTTGGGTTATTTTTATTTAAGTTTCACCGACAAAATATTAGAATTTTAAATCTGAATTCCAATTTATTATAAATAAGTGGATTTTTTTTATAAAGCACCGGACATGCGACAGCAAATTCCACTCTACCGCCGTAGGCGGGTTTGCATTTTTTTTCGATTTTTTTTTTCATATAAATATATATATACTATACATTACAGGTACATGTTTATATGTATTGTATTGGTTAATATATTATGTATCTATATGATATTTATTTTATTAGGAATTATAATTGCACATTTCTCAAAATGTTCATTGTTAAATATCATACAATAATCGACATACCAAAATCGGTACTTACCACGGTTGTAGATATCTTAAACCGTGTTACTTACTTACAACTAACAAGCGGGGGGGGGGGGGGTCCGTGGGTCTAACCATATTTTCCATTCTTCAGTTAATTACGCTACCAACGTCCTGACTTGTGCCAGACGCTCTAATTTTTAAATATCTCCAATCCATATCACAAATCCTAAACTTGTCTTAAAACTGTCGCGACTTTTATAATGCAAACGACTCTTACTCCAAAATCGGTACCCACTCTCAGCGAGTACAACAGTCCCCGAGTTCGGAGTTTCACTTAGAGCTAGTAACTAATAAAGACGAATTGAGAGGACATTTAAAAACGTACTATTTCCAAAATTCACAAAATTGAGTTATACATGGATTCTTGTGGATTATGGGGTACTCATCAAACGGGTAATTATCAAACGACAAACACCGAGGTGACAGGACTATACAAAGCACCGCTAGCACTGCTAGCACGTAGACCAGAGATGGCGAACCTATGACACGCGTGTCACAGAGTGACACTCGCACACTATTTTAGTGACACACTCAACTGTGTAAAAAGTTACTGGAAAAACCACTGGTCATAGGACGTAGACTAAAATATATTGAGATTACAAAAATGAAATATTAAGTTTATGGTATTATACCTAAACGCATTGAATTGAATATCTACACTGCTCAACAACTATTAATTTTATTACTTTTCTATAAGAACTTTATTAAGTATATACATATATTTTATATAAGGGATATAATATGTAGCTGGCCCATGGCTAGCGTTAGTCATTACTCATTCATCGAGTCGAATGTGTTTCATGTGTTTGTGCAAATTTGTGCAGTTTTCATCGTTGGTGAGTGTTATTTTTATAGTAATTCAAAGGTTATTTTTAAATTGTTTGATAATGTAATATTTGACTTGTGTTTTTATCATTCAAACATAGATGTAGGAATTTTTAAGTTTAAAGAAGGGTTATCAAACTAGTTGACACGCAAGGAAAACAAAATCCAACCAACATTTTTATTTGACACGCTGGTACAAAAAGGTTCGCCATCCCTGACGTAGACGGTTCACTCGCATCGTCTCGTCTCGCTTTGTCTCGCCTCGTCTCGTGTGAGCACCATTTTTTGTAGGTTATGGGGTACTTCTGCATGAGAACACAGGCGAACCAGACAAGACTAGAACAAGAAGCAAATAGTACCAACTACAGTTTCGCAGTCCCTCGTAGTTTGTGACGATGCAATATCGCGAGAGTCGAGTGGATTGTAGAGGAAACATTATTTAGATCATAATATACTATGAATGGAGCCACAATGTTGAGTTTATTAAATCTAAATAAAAAAATATTGTCGATATCAGCGACGAGTCGCCGAATTAGGTGTTCGACATGACGTGCATGCGTGAAGCAACTACTCGCATATTTATATACAGATAATTTCTTATCAAATCATAATATTATGTTTTGAATAATATAATAGGTTCATACCATGGTTTTAAGAAGGTACATGGTACATATATATTCTATCTTCTCATACATCTTCTCTACATCACCTACTATAATAATATTAGTATTAACCACGATTACAAAGAATTCTTTATAATCGTGGTATTAACTAAGATTGTAAGATATAGAATAACTCTGTGATTGTAACCTATGAATAATTATGCGAGGAGTTGCATAGCGCATGCGCACATCGATAACCTAATAGACGCCAGATGATAATATCGCCATATTGACAACAAAATATTCACAACAAATAAAATAATAATAAAGGTACGCTGTGGTTACATCCATAGTATCAGGGGTACGAAACTCCGTAAGTTGGCCGAACAGGCGATTGCGGTCTTGAACACGGTCTCCGGGGGGGGGGGGGGGCGTGGCATACGTGAAATAGGGAATGGTAAACAAGCCGACCTCGGGTAGCGTATACCGCATTCCCACCTATATTTCGGGAAACGTTTATATTAACGGGAGACTGGGAGGTTCGGGCTTCAGATCATTGGGAAACAAAACCCCAATCAGCTGATCGAGTTTCGCTTCTATATTGTTCTATGATAGTATTGTGGTGAGCCAAGGCGTCGTCACAATATTCCCTCTCGTCGGTTATACTGTCGTCGTGGTTGGCATCACCGCCCGGCCCGCCGGACGCCGAACAGCGTCCCGGCGGCCCGGCCATGTTTATTTTTTCTCTCCGACTACGTCGACTCGTATACATCGTGTTTCGTTATTTCGCGCTCCCTCAACTTCTTACTGTCCGCCATTAACCACTAGATAGGAAAGTGTCTACCTTCCGCATCTGCTCCCACAGCCCGACTTGCCCTTCTGGAAAACGGCAGACACGAATACAGTCGTGGTCAACGCGAAATAGTCCAACCTTAATAAATATGGATAAGTGAGTATATTACATTTTTTTCTAGTCGTTGACATGATACAACTATGCATCTTATACCTTCTATTATTTGTATTTCAGAGGGTCAAGTGATCTGAAAATTGAAAACAAATGTAAAGAAGAGTACAAAGAAAAGCAGGATATAAAGGTAAAGAAGGAAAACCTGGAAATGCTGGAAAACCAAGGAAATCCGGAAACCCCGGCTATAAGCTCTAATAATATTGATCAGCATGGCGACAATGATGAATGCGAAGGGTATATTACATTTTGTTCTAGTCGTTGATATGAATGATATGATACAACCATGCATCTTGTACCTTTTATTATTTGTATTTCAGAGGGTCAAAAGATCTGAAAATTGAAAACAAATGTAAAGAAGAGTACAAAGAAAAGCAGGATATAAAGGTAAAGAAGGAAAACCTGGAAATGCTGGAAAACCAAGGAAATCCGGAAACCCCGGCTATAAGCTCTAATAATATTGATCAGCATGGCGACAATGATGAATGCGAAGGGTATATTACATTTTGTTCTAGTCGTTGATATGATGATATGATACAACTATGCATCTTGTACCTTTTATTATTTGTATTTCAGAGGGTCAAAAGATCTGAAAATTGAAAACAAATGTAAAGAAGAGTACAAAGAAAAGCAGGATATCCAGGTAAAGAAGGAAAACCTGGAAGTGCCGGAAAACCAAGGAAAGTCGAAAACCCTGGCTTTAAGCTCTAATCATATTGATCAGCATGGCGACAATGATGAATGCGAAGGGTATATTACATTTTGTTCTAGTCGTTGATATGAATGATATGATACAACTATGCATCTTGTACCTTCTATTATTTAAATTTTAGAGAGGTTATAGATCTGACCAAGGAAAATCCGGAAGATCCGGAAAAGCCGGCAACCCGGGCTGTGGACCCTAATGATGGAGAATGTGATTGCGACGATGATGATTGTGTAGGGTGCTTTTGGCCCTGCGAAACATGCTCGTCAAACAAATGTGGACACGAATGCCGGTTAGTTAAATATGAAAAGAATGACAATTTAAAATAAGGAATTGTGTATTTTTAGGTTAATATTATTAGGGTAAAACCTTGTATACCAAAGCTGGGCAGTAACTAGTTAATAATTTAAAAATTAAGTTATAAATTAATTTTTAATAACTCTTATCTTAATTACCTAGTTCAACAAAACTATAATATTAGAAAATAATTAAGTTATTTCATTTCATAAACAATTGTAACTTAACTTATAGTTATTTTCTTTAAATTTAAGTTATTTACAATGCATTTATTTTTCAACGAAAATTACATTTTTTTTTTAGTAAATATCATTATGACATAACACGATATGCGTTCTATGGATACCCATATGCGTCTTGTATGTTAAGTTTAAAATACTGAAGAACGCCCGGAAAGAGCATACCTAACCTGACGTCCTTGAAGTTGGGACCCCCACTTTGATATATCGACTTCAAACCAGTGCCAATATTTTGCAACCGATTTGCAACAATTTGCAACACTGGTTTTGAAATTTGCAACTTCTCCCATTCTCCGGGAAATCCGATTTCCCGATGGGGGTGCCAACTTCACGCAGTACCCCCACTTGAGATATCGACTTCAAACCAGTGCCAATATTTTGCAACTGATTTGCAACAATTTGCAACACCGGTTTCGAAATTTGCAACTTCCCCCATTCTCCAGAAAACTCGATTTCCCGATGGTACTACTATCAATTATCACGGACATTTTTTTAAAATTATTTTTATATTTATTAACGTTATAAATTATTAATAAATAACACTTAATTCAAAAATAATTTATAATAGGTACCTACTTATTTAGGTATAAAATATAATATAATTCATAAAAGTTATAAAAAAAAATTAATAGCTCTAAGGGATTTAAATTATAATTATAAATTTAATTATAACTTTCCGAATTCCGTTTATTATTATTTAGTACTTATAGGTACACAATTAAGTTTTTTAAGTTTTTAGAAAAAAATATCTGATTTTTAACATATTATGGTACATTGACAAGTTTTATAATCTTTATAATATAGTCATCAGCCCAATCGTTGGTTGGTGAAATGTTTTAGTCCACTGCCCGGGTAAGTTCTTGTTCTGCGCAAAGTATATTTAGGTCAAATAATTTAACAGTAGAAAGATGAGGGCAATAGACAAATCATTAAAAATAATATATGATAGAAAAAACATTTATGAAAACTAATAGTGAGGTATTGATTATGTAAACCAAAGATTTCTAGTATTTTACCTAAGTGTTATAAATTATATATGAGTTAAGAAATAAAATATTTAAGATTTCGATTGAAGCAATTAAGGTATTGGTTTTACAATGATATATTATATTAATTCTGAGCAGAGCGCTGATTATTGAATTATAATTATGTGTGTTTTTATATTTCTGTCTGGGGCAGAATTACCTTTAGGGCAGTAAAAATGATTTGATTTTCTGCTTCAGAATCTATTTATTGAGAAAGAAAATCTGGTTGTTACTTTGGGGGAGTTGAATGTGAAACAATCTCCAGTAATTTTTAAAAGCAAAGGGAAATGTATATACAACTATGATTTTTTTATTATATTTTAATAATTTTAATTATTTAAAATTTTTTATTGAATATAGATTTTTCTATACGAATTATTTTTTTATTTTTTAATAGGTATATTGTTGAGATTTTTTTTATTAAATAGTTTTTTTTTATCAAATATAGATTTCTTATTATATTTACATTTTTTTTTTAAAACCGATTTTTTACACCAAACTAAATTAAGAGAATTATTGAACATTGACTTACCAAATCATTCATTATTGGCAAGTGACATTGATTCAAATGATAATATAAATGAGAAAACCGATGACAATGATGATGATGATTATGATAGAATTCTCCCGAAAAATGAAGAAAAGGCTCTGTTTGTTTTGAAAATACCTTATGATACATTTTTAAAATTTAAACCTTCTACTGTATTTTACAAACGTAAAAATGGAACTAGAGCTTATCAAATTCTAAAACCAGGAGCGTGGACAGATATAATTAATGATGCATTCTTAAAAGAATATCAATTACCTTGCAATTTTATTTATAAAAGCCACAAAGTTAATTCTCGTTGTGATGGAGCAAACTAGCAAAGTATTATTTAAATTTTAAAGCCAAATGTAAAGATAATAACTGCTCATTATTTGGATGGTCTGAAACCAATTAATGGTGATTAATAAAATGGTGAACCATTAATTGTTAACATTTTGGCAAAGGATACAAGAGGTGAAGAGTTAACTCATACTACTAAAATGCCACTGAAAGGAGAAAAACGTAAGCAAGTAGGACAACAACTGTCGTTAGACCTAGGGAGCAACTGGAGACGGCATAACATAGCTGATATAGATTTTTTTTTTTTTTTATTTATTTATCAATTTAACGGGCGAGCCCAATTACAATAGTATGTGGAACATAAAATAGTATGTACATAATGGTAGTTGTTGAATATAAATAGTATAAAGTATATATATAATGGTTGGTGTGGAGGTATAAAAATATTTTAAGTGAATAAATTTCTAAGATATAAATTAAATGAACTCACAGAATAACAAATAAAAAGATCGACATTAAAATTATTTACATGTTGCAAACATCTAATTAAAGGGGCGTTCTTACCATATAAACTGCGCTGGAATGGCATATAAAATGTGTCTCTCTGTCTAGTTGAATGACCAGGAACTAGAAATGATATATTTGACAAAAGATCAGGACAGTAAATATATCCGTTTAATAGTTTAAATATAAAGCTAATATCGTTTTTAATCCTTCTGTTTTGAAGAGTATCAATGTTTAGATATAGTAACAATGGTTCATATGAAGTGTGAGGTAAACGTTTAATATTACACTTGATGGATATAAGTCTCAAGAAACGATTTTGAATCGCCTCAATAGAATAAATTGGACCTAGTGTGTATGGAGACCAAATTATAGAATTATAATCAAAAATTGATCTAACTAAAGCGCAATAAAGTGATTTTAGTGCTAAAGGATTATCAAAATTATTACAACTACGCATTATAAAGCCAAGCATTGATGACGCTCTATTCTGAATATGGACATGGTGATCATTGAATGAAAGAGAGGAGTCAAGATATACACCTAAATCTTTAATTAGATTAACTCGTTCTAGTTCAATACCATTTAAAAAGTATTTGTTTAATATAGACACACGCTTTCTAGTGAAAGTAATAATTTTACATTTTGAAACATTCAAGTATAATTTATTATTATCACACCAATTACTTATGTTATCAAGATCATATTGAAGCAGATTAGAGTCTAGTGGAGTTTTTATAATACGGAATAGTTTAGCGTCATCGGCAAATAGCAGTATATTTGAGTTGATATTACTAATATCATTAATATAAATATTAAAAAGAAGAGGAGCCAAATGAGATCCCTGAGGAACTCCAGAGGTGACATTGTAAATATAAGAATTATAATTTTTGAATTTAACGTACTGCTTACGACCAGATAAGAAAGAGACTAGCCAAGAATAGAATGGATTGCGGAGACCGGATTGGAATAATTTTTTGATGAGAATATTATGATCTATCTTGTCAAAGGCCTTAGCAAAATCAGTGTATATTTCATCGACTTGGCAATTTGATTTAAATTCATTTAAAATAAAATGTTGCAAAACCAAGAGATAAGTAGTAGTGGATCTACTTGACATAAAACCATGTTGCTCGTTTATAATAAAATTTTTAAAGAGCGGACTAATCTTCTTGTATACGATACCCTCGAATATTTTAGGAATAATGGATATAATGGAGACAGGTCTATAGTTAATTATATGGTTAATATCTCCACTTTTATAAACCGGAGAGACATATGATATTTTCCTTTGGTCCGGAAAGACTCCAATAGCAAGAGACCGATTGAATATGATCAATAAGGGAGTTGATAAAACAAACTTACATTGCATAAAAAATGTGTTAGAAATATTATCTGGACCAGAACAAGTACTATAATTGATTTCATTGAGCTCATTATAAACATCGCTAATAGCCAGAGTGCATGAATTTAAATCAACAGAAGGAATACTAGTACTGTAATAATCAACAATACTTTCAGTAATTGACGGCATATTTAAGACACTGGAAAAATGTTGAGCAAAGCAATTAGTAATGTCATTACCACCAGAAATATTTTCATTATTGTAATACATAGAGTTTGGGAGTGAAAGAGTAGAGCGTTTGCTATTAACATATTTCCAAAATAACTTAGGATTACTAGTAATAGAATTTTGAGTTTTTGGATAAAAATATTATAATCAATTTTATTTTGAGCCTTACATTACAGCATGCACGTAAATTAGAAAATTTGTTGTAATTATATGAATTAGGTGATTGTTTATATGTTTTATGAGCAATTTTTTTATCAAGAATTAATTTCTTTAAAGAACTGCTGAACCAGTGAGGGTGCTTTCGGATTAGCATATCACCTCCTAATATATTTTATCGTCATGAAGTGTTGCGAAAAACAAAATAAGAATTTAAAGATGAAGCGTTAATGATTAAGATAAAATGTCCAATTTACTCATTAGTTGAGTTTAAAAATAATTCGCAATATTCTGGATCTATACATCACATAGCTATAGATCCGTTAATTGTGCACTATTGGACAACACATAAGCTTGTAATATACAAAGATTTAAGAAAATCTTATTGCAAAGTATCAATTGATGCTACTGGAGGCCTAGTGAAGAAACTTAAACGTTCTTCACTGAATTTATTATCTTCACATATATTTTTATATGAAGCTGTAGTCAATACGCACTATGGGCAAATTCCAATAACTCAAATGGTTTCGGAAAAAACAAAATACAATCAATATATTTAATTGGCTTGGTGAATGGGTAAATTAAAAAATAATGCAATTTTTTATAATAATGACTAAAAATTAATATATATAATTTAAAAAATTTGAGCAGTAATAACCAAGGCTCGATCTTTTAAGTAATTTTAGCACCAAACCAAATACACAGGTCATATTTTTTTTATTGTCTATATTGATATAAGTAATTTTTATTCTTTTATTTATTAATAATACAGTACCTAGGTTAATTATTAAAATAAAGTCACATTCGTTAAATAGTTATTTATAATTATATAATATTATAATAATTATAAAACTTGACAATGTACCATAATATGTTAAAAATCAGATATTTTTTTGATTTTTTCTAAAAACTTAAAAAACTTAATTGTGTACCTATAAGTACTAAATAATAATAAACGGAATTCGGAAAGTTATAATTAAATTTATAATATATATAGATTTTTTAATTTTATTTAGCTTTTTCAATAGTTTTTTATTCTTGGCTATTTTGTATTGAAATACAAATAATGAAAATTTCTAATTTTATTAAAAAATCTGTTTTAAAAAAAAATGTAAATATAATAAGAAATCTATATTTGATAAAAAAAATTATTTAATAAAAAAAATCTTAACAATATACCTATTAAAAAAAAAAAAATAATTCGTATAGAAAAATCTATATTCAATAAAAAATTTTAAATAATTAAAATTATTAAAATATAATAAAAAAATCATAGTTGTATATACATTTCCCTTTGCTTTTAAAAATTACTGGAGATTGTTTCACATTCAACTCCCCCAAAGTAACAACCAGATTTTCTTTCTCAATAAATAGATTCTGAAGCAGAAAATCAAATCAATTTTACTGCCCTAAAGGTAATTCTGTCCCAGACAGAAATATAAAAACACACATAATTATAATTCAATATATTGAAAAATATTCAATATATCAAAATTATTTTTGGTTTTCACCTCTCACAAGCGTCAAGCACACCTGAGGACGCCCCAAGTCAGTGAATGCTCTATACTCTTTCTGCTATAACTCCTATTTAAATCAAATAAGATAAATTTAATTAAAAAATATAAAATTAATATAATTAAACAAAACAAATTATGATGTATTGGTGTGTTTCATATAAATTTTTTGGTACATTAATTAATTAACTGGTTATTGCTTTTTGAAATTGTACAAACTATGATAAATACAACTCAAAATACTTCAAATATAAAGTCATGTCTAACATATTTTACTTTTTTGTATGCATTTTTTGCTGCAAAAACTGTCCACATTTTACTTTCTTGATTTTTAATAAAGTAAGTATGGTAGTTGAAATATAAATATAATTTTGAAAACTTCAAGAATTTGTGTAAAATAGGAAAACTGTAAAAATGTAACACAGTAATGTTGAGTAGGCGGGTAATTTAGCTAGCTTTAATATTAAATATTAATGAGAGAGATTTGATATTACACCCAAGTGGTTTAACCACTTGAGTCCATTAAAACGTTGGCTTGAACAGTCCCAAAATTTCTATTTTTTAACTTTTCTCCTAAACTATGATAGATAGAAAGTTGCTTGATAACTCATTAAAAAGGGATTACCTATCAAGAAGATACTAAATTTGGAATCAAAATTTTTTACAGATAAAAAAAGAGTTGTTTCGCTACGTAAGGACCCCTCTTCACCGTCACTACACATAGTTATAACTTATAATACGCAATATATAATATACTATTATAATACTTTATCTACAATTAATTCACTACAAAGCTGTAAAGTTGATAAACATCAAAAAACGCCTGTTGTTTTAATTTTGTTTAATATTCTGTAATGAATTAACTATAGAAGATTAAGTTCTGAAAATCTTCACTGCACTTCGCCTAACCAATATGAATCTAAAAAGACCCCAAACAACGAAATTTGCTCTCCGGTTTCGGAGATCTATCTCACTAAATAAAAATGAAAATGATTTTTTGTATTGCTGTTCACTCCGATATTTTTCTGGATTCAAATTGTTGTACCGACCGCTCGAACTGATCGAATTGTTGATACATTTCTAAAAATTAAAAATCAAGAAAGTATACATGCCGATCCCTGACTTGGCAAGCGTTTTTTATTCCCATTGAATTTCATGCAGTTTATATAAAATATATGCTTTATCCTAATCTGGACCCTGATCTAGCACATTTATAAATCATAATACCATATTTTTTTTCCAGAACCACTCGAAAATGGAAAAGGTATGAATCGTGGATAAGACAAGGAAGAAGTAACAATTAATAATTATTTGTAACTTAATAATACTGTCAAAATTTGAAATATAATTTTAAAATAATATTCTAAACAAATTGTATATTTTATCAATCAACATTTGTTTTCCTTTAAGACCAGGTTTTTCAACCAAATTTATTTGAAAATATGACGGATAAGGAAAAATTGATAATTATTGCTTTTTAAATGTGGGAATAACTAAATTTTGGGGTATTCAGCATATTATTTTTGACCAAACTGCCAAAGATAAGGGTTTCAATAATATATTCATAAACTACTTTTAGTTTGTGGAACAGTTAGGTTAGGTCATTGTTTTAGATTAACTAAATGGTTCATAATTGAAAATGGGCAAAGTAGACCTAAACTCTAAAGCAGGCAAACACAAGAAAAAAAATTTGTAATTTGAGGGCGTTTGAAAAAATATTAAATGTTCATAAATATCATACTGTAATTCTCTTATAATAAGCTCTGACAGTTCAAGGGGTTGAACCCCTAACCACCTCTCTTGAAAGTAATAAACATAGGCACAAATAGGATAGGGGGCTTCTAGGGGCTTAGAGTTTCTTTAGCCCCCCAAAAACTAACGATTTCACTACTATAATTTAAAAGCATCATAAGAGTTTCAAGTATAGACCTGAGCTTCAGTCCCCCCAAATTTCAAACACTACGCCAATGGTAATAAAGCAATAGGGGACCTTTTATTTACGGTATACAGTGGGAGGAATCAAACCTTTGGCCTTTAAAAAATATAAAATATTATTTAGTCTATTTAATTTATTATTTTTAGAATATATTTAAAAATACGTTGTTTTAAGTTAATACAAAACAATATAGACTATTCAATACTATATTTAACTAATCACCTTTAAAATTAAGTCTAGTCACTACTACTTTGTTAGATTCGTTATCTTTTTAGTTTTCAATTTCATACTTCTGGAGGTGATTCAGTTGATGATACTTCACTCCAGGGATTTTTTTAATGATTTTTCTGACTGCACAAATTTATTGCCACTCTTGGGTTATAGTAGGGAATTTGTAAATACATACCAAACCCAACGGACTGTTATCCATTAAACTGTCGGGGGCGGGTACCAAAGCTGTATTTCTAAACAATTTTATACCGTTATACTGTTAAAAACAAAATCACAAAAAAAATCATTGACATTTTCTGAAAATTATGACTTGGTCACCCCATATCATGTCTCTGAGCCGCCCTTGTTAACTTTGCCGGCTATACTACCTAGCTAGTACCTACCTATTAACCTACTGTCTACTGTGTATACTGTACACTATCTACATTCTATACTTTCATAAGACTGCATATAGGTAGGTACTCAGAAAGTCAGGTAAAAATAAATAAATCCGGACTCTCTCATGATATACCAAATAAATCATTTATTTATATTAATGCACTATTTTTATTGTACATTTGCAAATAATAATTTTAAAATTTTGTTAGTAAATATGAGTAATAAGACCTACTAAGTAATATTTACTTGAAGTAGGTAATTTGTAATATAAATTGTTTATAAAAATAAAATACTCAATTGACTAGGTACCTAATTTTTTATAATTTTTGTAATACACTTTTACATAAAATAATAGTCAATGTGTTACCATTTGAGTCTGTATATAATAAAATAACTATTGTAGGTAGATATATATTATAATTATAATTAAAAGCTTTGAATCCTTTCAGGATATGAAAAATGTAATAATTAAAAGAGAAAATACGGCATTTGATGTCAGAATGGAGAATAGGTCAAAAATTCATAGATTATCTTGGTCCAAAAAACTACAACTTAATGCCAGTAAATATAAAAAGGGACATATTTATTCTATAAAGAAGAGAATCGTATAACTATAGAAATGAAAAATAAAATTCAGATTTGGTAATTTTCAACAAAACTATTCAACTCTTTAAACTTAAATGTAAAAAAATACTTAAGAACTAATTTTATAAAATTTCATATTTTGGTTGACACCTCAATTATAATACTTTTCCACTAATCTACTACCCCGATACCTATTTAGGGGGGGGGGGTTTATAGGGTGTATTATATCGATCAAATCACACTTTATAGGAAAAACTCTCACATCTCGTAGATTGGTCCGATTTTTGTTAGAAGAACATTTTTACAGGGAGCATTGTACTTCGATTTTTGATTAATTTGCTAAAAACAAAAAAAAAATACAAAAATAAAAAGTTTGTAAAAACGGATTAAATTAAAACTTGTAACATAAGACTTAGACAAATAATTTTGAAAATCCAAGTCCAATGCGCCCTAAAAGAAGTCTTCCTCTATCGAACAAAAAAAAACTATGGAAATCGGACCAATCTACGAGGTGTGAGAGTTTTTCCTGTAAGGCATGTTTTTGAGTCGCTCGCAGGCACCTTAATGGTTTTTATATAATTGATGGTTATACGTTTGGATACCTATCATACAAGTTAAGCAATAACAAGTTTCGATGGAAGTGTACGAATAAAAGCTGTAAATGCTATATGAAACTAGATGTTTATTTAATAATAGTAATTTCATTGACACCACTCACCTCAATCGACAAAAACTAAATAATGTTGCAAAACGGAAAAGCCTATCGGATCTTAGCACACGCACACGACTATCGAAAATTATTTGTGCAGAACTTAGTGCTGATTACTTTATTAAATTTACAGTTAATGATATACTTTTAGTTTGGAAAAACATTTATAACACTCGTAGATCAATCCTACCTAAAATCCAATAAATATAGATGATGTTACAGCTGAAAATGAAAATTTATATATATTTTAAATTTTGATATTGATTATTTCGATTTAGGTTATAAAAAAGGTATACCGGGACGCAAATAGACTATGACCTTTTTTGGACCTTTTTTTGCGGGACGTATAACTCACCTACTGATAGTAATTTTGGACGCAAGTATGCTCCCGCTGTAGGTAGGTAGGCTACTAGGCTACTGTACCTACCTAGATGTTGAATGCAGAATGAGTCACTATAACAGATGAGTGATTACAACAACATTTTTTTTATAAGCATTTAAAGCTCAAATCTAATGGACAAAATTTATCAAATTGATATTTCACAAATTATTTTGTAGTTAAACATTAATAAAATGTTCAATTTTTATAGCTAAGGATTAAAAATGTAGAGCAAGGTTCCATAAAAGTAGTTAAATCTGTAACCCAAAAATATAAAAAAATATTTGAACAAATTTTGTTGTGCTTTAAGTGTTTATAAGTTTAAATTTGGACGAAATTACATGATATTGAAATAAAGAATAGGTACCTAACGATTTTAGTTATTTTGTTGTAATTTAAAAATATTATTTGTGGGTGTTTGAAGCTTTTAGTATATTATTATATTTTATACACACATTGATATTTTCAATGTTCTAATATTTAATAATGCCTATAATCTATACTCTATACTATTATATACAATTGTAGGGGATTTTCTACGACTGCGTTAACGGAGAAAACAACTAAACCGATTTGGCTGATTCTTTTTTTGTTGTGTTCGTAATTGTCAGGACAAGGTTCTGATGAAAGAAGATTTTAGGAAAATCCACCAGAAAAGTAGGAAATATGGATGTCAAAAATACAACAGTGGCGCCATATGTCCAGAAAATAAAATAATCTAAATTAATTAAATTAATTTTTGCAGATAATAATAGTATATTTTATATTGGTTGCTATTGGTTAATCAGGCATGTTTGTTGATTTGTATGATTATTTTTCGTCAATATATATAAATGAATGTTTGTGTGTAGATTAGACCTCCGAGAAGAAGATAGATGAATTTAAAAAGGGTTAAATTTCGTTTTTTTTATTCATATCATTTTAGTATGGTAGGTTAGGTTAGTTTAATTTTCTACAACATTGGATATTCTCTCGATTTGTCATAGAATGACTTTCATATTTTGTTATATTTTATTCAAAAACGAATAACTGCAGATACTTGATATTTACACCGAATGTTTATTTTATAACTTTCTATACTTGATTAAATTTTCAAAATATTTTGTCTCGTTTTTATTTGTTTTTTCTATATATGGCAATAAAATTTTATTTGTTGTTATAAAATATCAGTTTAAAAATATTAAAAATACATATAATATGCCAGATTTTTTTTTATAATCTTAAACTTTTTAAATTTTTAACAAACTCTAAAATAATCCATATTTAGGTACTAGATACAAAACCATGAGTTTGTGGAACTTAAAATGTAGGCACTAAATTAACTTTTATTAATGACAAGAAAATAATTTAGAACATTAGAATCGACATCGATTTTTAGGGTAAGCACCACCGTACCAGGTTTTACATACCTACGTTTCTGTGTAACTATACTGATTAGTAATCAAGGCTCGGATTTATATGTAAACACATATTTTCTATGCGACATGATATACTAATTTCGGCAAGTGATAAATTCGTTTCCCAAGATTTTTGATAAAATGAGCTATATTTGATTTTACATATTTTTACATATTTTGTCATCAATACATGTTTATACATATTTCACAATTATTCAATTTTGTTCACATAGGTATTTGGACAATTTTACTGTTTTAACGTCTTTTCTTCAAAGTTCAGGTCCACCGGACGTATTTTTGACTTGGCTAAACGACTGGTGGCACTCAACTTGTTATATTTTCAATTATTTCTGGATACGATTTTATCGATTGAAATATCAGATATTTTATCGTAATGTATTACGATTAACACATTTTTAAACACGTTAAACACGAACGAGCGAACACTGCGATGAGTGTGTAGTTTTTAATGGGACATCGTAGTGTGTGTTTCGTGGCCTCGTTTTTCGTTTTATTTTACATGTATGTTACCAATAGGTAATGTCCAAAGTACGATCGTCTAAAACTTGCAAAGCAATAAAATATGTTTCTGAATATCCAAATGAACATTTACATTTTATATTGTATCCACGTCCCACTGTTCGCAAAAAATCGATAGCAATTGATTAATATATTTATTTATTTTTTGA